GCTTCATATAAAGAACTACAAAAAGTCATAAGAATTTACTTTTACTTCTGAGTTATTAATGCATTTCATGTGAAAAGTTTAAAAAAAAGGTATCGTTGAGTGACTTTGTCTTATATGAACCATTTGTGTAATTATTTGTCTGATCATTTTTTGTTATACAGTTGTTACACGATGATAGTTGATATGCAATGTGTAAGTTACTTTATCTTTAAAAAAATTATATCAAGTATTGTCATTTACCATTTCTTCAGTGTGTGTGTGATTATGGCAAAGCCTCGAGGGCTATCTCGCCAAAGGATGCCTTCGTGGAGGACTTTCTAAGGGAAGCTGGCTAGTATACACGTTACACATGGGGAAAACCACGAAAACACACATGCAGCCAGCCCGTTCGCGGGATTCGAACCTCAGACCGAACTACCAGTGTTCAGCGACTTTACCGTTCGGCTGCTGGTGGGCATCATTCCTTCGGAATTTTGCATTGTAAAATCGTCTCAGATTAGCGGGGGAAAATGCAGTTTCTTGAAAAGGACTAGGTTATACACGAAGCTCACGTATTTTTCTATGATGAGACACGTTTAGAAGAGCTGATGGTTATTTAAGGAGAAGAACTCTCTTCCGTTTAGGTTAACTAAGGAGTGCATGAAAAGGAAAAAAGTGATTTCCAATTTGCAGAGCTTGACAAAATTACTGCCAAGCACTTTTGTATCACGCGGAACATGTCCTAAAAGATAATGTAATGTGACCGAAGCTGAGCTAAAAGTATTTCAACATTGAAACAATGTTTCTAAAGAAAAGTGGCCATATTGCACACAAAATTCGAAATGCTCATTTTCAGCAAGGATGAAATGCTTGCACATAAACCTAATGCATCTCCTTGTTTTCTACTTGCTTGACATTTATGCTTTTGCATTCAGCTTGTATCTTCTGCCTTCAAGTTAGTAGATTTAATAGCTGTGTTTCTTATATCTGTGGATTTAAATTGCTTTGCTGAAAGAAGTCTAATAGAGTGAAATTTGAAGACCATGGTAACCAAGCTACTGAGTTTATGTTTCTCATTCATTTCCAGTAAAGAGAAAAGATGTTCAGCTAGCATATTGCTTTTGCTTTCCTTGATGCCCTATCGTGTTGAAATGACATATTTTAAAATTTTTGTTATGGCAAATGATCTAAAAATTTAACTATTTCAGTATTAAAGAAATCTGAATATTTTTTCAATATTAGAAGGCTATTAATTAAAAAAAAAAGAGAGAGAGAGATTCGGTGCAAATTAACCCGCAAGCTACATCAAATATTGGCTGATCGTTGGGTTTGATGTATGCATCTGCAGTCCATTAGAGATATTTTACTGGAATCGGAAGTATACATTAGGTTTATTCATTACATCATCGTATGAGAATTTAGATCCATCGGCACCTAAGTTAATTTTGTACTGCCCTGTGAAGCATTTAATAGGAAGTTACATTTTTACTCATTTTCCAGAGGAAATAACTGCTGCATAAACTTTAATACTTCTGTTTAAAAAAAGTATGCATTCATACTTTTTTTTCACAGTTGGCTTAAACCACATCAAATTTCATCCGATACTCTAAACACTTACTTGATTTTCTTTCTTTACTTTGTATAAACTGCTTGGTAATAGCTTTTAGTACTTATTCATTAAGTATCAAATATATCTTTCATCTACCAAAAAGAACATTGTCATCCGTTTCACGAAGAATTATTAAAAATGAAGTAAAGATAATTTCCAATTCGGTCTAATTTTGCTTGACCAAATATTCAACTGGCTGACTGAAGCCCAAAGGTGATGATAAATTTTTGTAGGTTTCAAACTTTGGCAGGATCTATTGGCCAAAGCTTGGAAGTGTAAGTTATAGAAAATTTTTTAATGTTATTTATAATTAAAAACATATTTCGTTATTTTATTGATGTTTATATATATATATATATGTGTAGATATAGATAGATATGGGTATATATTTAGATTTATTTATATAAGACCTAAACCTATATCACGTACTTTATCTTTTTTGCAGCTTTATACCCATTAAATTGTCTTTCATGTTTTGTTTTTCTCTATCTTTCTTTCTCTCCCCCCATATATATATAGTATATATATATACACACATGCATGTACATGTATATGTAATAAATTGAAAATGACAGATGCAGACTGATGTTGAAGCATACATAGAAGACCCATAATGAAGAACAAGAATAGCACTCTAGGCAGATTTAACAGAAAGTAGTCATGGGAGATTTAAAATTAATATTTAACTGACATTTGTGGCCACATATAACTTGGCACACTAATCCTGTCCGTTTCGAAACATTTTCATTTTTGATAGCTTTGCGGTAAGAAGAGAAGCAGCAGTCTAGCTTGGCCGAAGAGCAGAAACGTAGGGCGAAATCTTAATTCAGAGTGGATTTCAATTTTGGTTTCATTTATTCATAATTAACAATGATCTAAAATTATTATTGGCTGAAGGTAAATTATTTTTGCCTTATCTAAAGCATTATCTAAAAGTCATATGAGAGATTAATCTAGAAATGACATGGTGCATAAAAGTTTATGAATAATTACTATTTTAGAATAGAAAGAGGAAATACTCAAATCAAAATGAAGACTTAAGGGGCTATTGTTAATTCAAATTAAAATTTTGATTTACACACACACACACATGTATTATATATCTATATATATATCAAAAATTGTATTCTTAAAATTATTATTTTTATTTATTATTTTATTCCTGTTTTTTTAAAAATAGGTAGATTATATATTTTTTAACCGTATTGTTTTTACAGTCAGTAAACAAGTGATGTAAGTATTTTAAAAATAATGTATAGAATGAAGTTATGTGTAGATTTATTATTGAAAAGTGTCTCAAAGATAAATAGAAATTCTGTGATTATTTATATTATTGTATATTTAAAAATTTAAAAACTGAGTAGGTGTATTATATGCAAATATGAAACTGGGTTATGTATAAATTTTTTGTTAAACTAAATGTTGTTTTTTATATAATAATTTATATACATTTTTTTTTTAAAGATTACTTTGCTATTTGGTCTGTTTTATATATCATTTTTATACTAGAAATTAAAATTTTTTACAGCATGATTATCGTATTCATTTTGAAGTGTAACAGAAATTATTTAAGACGTTCCACAATTAATATTTTGGAAATGCATAATTTTTCCTTTTAAATTAGTAAATTAATAACTCTCCCCCTTCCCATTTATACAATATCAGAGGTGTTTAAATTTGAAATAGATCAGAGGTGTTTAAATTTGAAATAGATTGAAATGGAAACTGATTGATTTGAAATTTACAACAAATTTGTAATGTGAAATTCACTTGTCTATAAATGAAAAATCAGCAGTACAAGGAAAACATAACAGCTTAAAGGAAATAATTAGAACTTCATCATCTAATCACATTTTTCTTAGTAAAATTCAGAATTCTTACGCGCAGTAAAATACTTCTTATCATTTATATGTCGAATGTAGATGATATGGGTGGGAATTATGTAAAACTGATATGTATACAAATGGAAAAATTAATAGTATTTTAATTACTTTATATTTTTGTAGGTTATTTGTGTTATATTTTTACTTATTGTTTTGATGTTTCATCAAGATAACATATTTAACAGAAGTTTATAATCCAAGTATGCTCATTCTGTATAATGCTTCACTGATTAATAATAATAATAATAATAATGCGAATATGTGCCACAAAACAGTTTGATTAAATATTACTAGTTTTTTCTAATTAATGTTAAGCTTACATGAAACACAATCACCTTATTGAAAAATAATAGTTACGTGAAAGCATTAATATACTTCTCTTTCAAATGTAGGAAAATAATGATATGTGTATCTAAGAATATTTTTATTTCATTAAACCTATGCAGTACGTGTATCAGCTATTAATCAAAAATTTACTTTCTCTACAGATTTTGATTATTTTATATATTCTGAATACAGTGTTCTTTTCTCTCTTCAAAAGAATTCTATTCTCAAGTGCAGAAAACATATCATATGCATGTTTTAAAATTAACTACAATGAGTATTTAACTTTTATATTTTTTTTTCCTTTTTCAAACAAAATTTAAATATAAATTTAATGTGCTGTAATAGATGCAGCAGAAAATACTATCATAACAGAGTTTTCCCTTCCCCTGCTGTTAAATTGATTTATGTACAACACGTTTTTGCTAATAAAAAAACATAAAAAATATTTTTATTGTATTTAATATGTATATAAAGTAGAAATAATTATACATAATTAACTTCATATTTTTTAAATAATTTTATTAAAGTACTAAATTTTCTTGTAGATATTTACATGTTTAAAATTTTCTCCTATCCCTTTAATCAAAAATCACGTCATGTAAAATGAGATTTTCATATATGTTTATATAAAGAGAGAGAGTGTTGTGAAGTTATTATGAACATCATAATTTATATTGGTCTGATGAGATATGTATATTTTAAGTACTTTTAGATTTGAAAGGTTGAAATAATGAATGGTATTAGATGAACTCATGCTTATTTTTGAGAGTGTAATTTAATTTTCCCATGAATTTAAGAACTTTTCTTTGTGTTATTAATGTTATTCTTAATTATTTCTCCCTTTTTATTAAGCTGGGGAAAAGTCTCATATACAGAGAGTTCACAAGTTATTTCAAATTTCATATTTGAAATAACTTGTGAACTCTCTGTATGTTGTTTATATGTTAAGATGTATTGTAATGCTTTTCATCATTCTGTATGTTATGCATAAAGAATTCTGGTTGTCGCTAACTAAACATCTAAAAGGATAACCTAAACCTGTATTATGTTTGAAGAAGAATTGTTTTGTTTCTGTGCTTTATTAACATGTATAAAGCCATTGTAGTAATAAAATGTTGTTTTGTTTGTTAATCATAATCTTCGATTTAATTATTAAAATTGTATTTTTCCAAATTTTTAATATTAGATATATTTTGTTTCAGGGTCTGATACTTTGTGTGGAAATAATATTTCAATCAGTTTGGTTACTACCATGGACTACCGACCATTTTGTACATTTTGTAAACGGCAGTTTCATTCAGAACAAACTTTGAAACGTCATATATCTGAACGTCATGCTTTGAATCCTCAAAGATATGGATGTGATTTATGTCAGAAAAACTTTTCAAGAAGGCATTATGTAACAATTCATAAGAGAATGGTACATTCTGATGTTCTGTGATTATTTATATTATTGTATTTTTTGTTGCAATTATGATAAATATTGGTATTTAAAATCAGTCTAATAAATGTTAAATTTAAAGCAATACGCAAAAATTTCTTATTTCCTTTTAATGACTAGGCTGTCTGTTCATGAAGATTATTTTACTTTTGCTCATAATGGTGTCATCAGCATTGTCTAAACTGGGACTTTGTAGAATTCGAAGAACAGAATGCGGTTTTTGACCTAATTTTTAAGTATTTTTTTTTTTTATTAAATATTAAAGTTCCTATTTTTAAGAAAATTTTCTTTTAAATTTTGCAAGCATCTTAACTACAGTAACAGATCTCAAAAATTTCTAACTTTATTAATTTTTTTCCCAGCACTTAGGCTTATTTCGGAGCCCGGGATTTGTGGACTTAATAGCATAATCCGGCTTGCCCCTGTTATTTTGCATGAATTGTATGTAAATACTCTAAGGTAAACAGGTGTACAGATGTGACCCTAGGCAGCAAATGCTATGACTTCTAGAACTAATATACTATAACTTATACCTCCGGCTCTCTCGTTATTCAGTCATACCAAATTCATATTCAAACACTGGTTATATGGTTCTAAAAATGAATGTATTCAGATTAATGGGGATACATATATTTGCAAATGTTGTTTATGAGTAAAGAATTGATAAATCTGTATCTCACAAAATGATTTTGTATTACTCTTCTTGGACTAATTATTTCATGGTGATTTTGGATCATTAACTTTCATGGATCTCACACATACAAAAATATCATCAAGGTGTTTCTAAGCTAAACTATCCTTAATTTCTTGAATTAATATTTTGTATGGGCATAAAAATAATATCTGTAACGCACTACATATCTTCCTCACATGTGCCTGTCCCTAGCTCTGAAAAAGTAACACAATAGGTAGCTTTTACCCGATGCTTCCTCGATAAAAGCTACCTATTCTGTTACTTTTTCAGACCAAGAGATAGTATGACACATGAAAACATAGTTTAATTGCAGGAAATTTAATTAGTTCATGAAACGTTGGATATACAACCATTTTCTCGTTCAGCATGACCAAAACGAGTCATAGTCTTTGGAGACTTTCTAAAGTTGTCATCATCTATATCCGGCGGTTGTGGTGTTCAGTCACATGAAGGAGAATCTTTTCTAGGAACAGGCTCCATGGACAAGTCTTAACTGCGAATTTCTAAAGGGAAAATTGTTTGAATAGGGCGAATTAGTACATATTATTGTGTTTTTAGTTTCACAGTTCTTACTGAACTTTACCCGGAAATAATTCAATAAATCTGGCTAAAAGCCCGTCTAAGCGCTTCCTGAAATTATCTCTCACTAGGACTATGTCGCTAATTTGAATATTTGACAAGTTGACTTTATTAATTTTTTGACAAGTTGACTTTATTAATTTTTTGACAAGTTGACTTTATTAATTAATTTGAATATTTGACTGTTTGACAATTTTCTTAAAAATAGGATTAGTGATGACTTTGGATTAGTTACCCTAAATATTCCTTTCTAAAGCGTAATCTCAAATCTTCGATTAAATTAGCACGATACTTTATTCTTTTCCGTAAATTGTTGCCTCGTCGACGTTTGTAACTTCTGATTTCGGTTTATTGGTTAAGAACATGGCTGGAGTTAATGAAAATATCTTTCCATCTTCTGATCAATATGTTAAATGTCGGGAGCGCAAATTCTTCGTAAGTTATGACAGCTTTTCCTAAAGGTCTTCTAAGGAGCTCTTAACAGTTCTAACAAGTCTTTCTCAACAGGCTGCTGCATGAAGACGAAATTTCCAAATAATACGTTGAACCTCAGCTAATCGATTTATCTTTTTCCTCACTCTATTTCTTTTAGGTAATTGTAAGACATATAAAATTTGTACTATTGTCACAGTACAATAATCTAGGTCTTCATCGTCTCGCTGTAAAGCGTCTAAATGAAAGCAGGAATGCTTCTGTTGACAGCGATAAAACTTCCTCCAAGTATAGAGCTCAGTGTAGAGCATATATAAACAAAAAGAATCTATACTTTGTAACCATGCTATACATAAAAGTGCCCTGTTAAATCTGTTCCCACAATCTCAAACACAGATGCATTTTTAACTCTGTCTGCAAGCAGTTTAGCTGGATCTGCCGTTAATGATTGAGATTTAATTTTTTTTTGGTTTATTTAAGGGGAGGATGCCTTCGTGGAGGACTTTCTAAGGTAAACTGACTCGAATACACATTACACATGAGGAAAACCGCGAAAACGCCCGTGCAGCTAGCCTGTTCACCTGGAATAGAATCCAGGTCGGAACTACCAGTGTTCAGGGACTTCACTGCTCGGCTACTGGTGGGCACGATTGAGACTTAAACCATTGACACTTGATACAATATTTCAAACATTTCGAACTGTTTTCCTACCTTTAAGGATCCAATATTTTTCGCGTAAGATATTAAGTAACATTTGAGATCCTACGTGATAATTCTAACGATGAAAAGTGTAATATAATCTTCGTGTAAATACAGAATCCCCAAGCAATAAGATTGACGATGTAACCTCTTATTTATCTATTCTTTCATTTATACGCGTTTTTACGCAAGTAATCCCTTCTTCATCTTTGAGTGTACATATGTGTGCGGTCTTGCTTTTAGGAGGCAAACATATCTTCTGCACATAATGTATTCTTCTCTTCTCCTGTTATGTCATCGGAACCGGACCCGCCGCCAAATGTTTTGCTAAACTCACCAAGAGCTTGGTTCATATGAAGTCGCGAATGCTTACTTTTGAAATCGTTATAATATTTACTACTACTAAAAAAAAAAAAAAAAAAAAAACCCATACCATAAAGCGAAACTCTACTTCAGTTTGAAGGAAGCACTAAAATGGAAATTTGGAAATTTAAAGATATGACATGCCGAAAGGGAGAAAAAATTGCATTCTCAAATTGGTTTGAATGATGGAGAATCAGTTTTTAACGGCAATTTGTTTCATTTATGCATAGTGTTTAGATTTAATGTCCATTGAATTTTGTCAGTATTAGTTTGATATGAAACATTGCATTGTTGTTGACTGCAACAGTTACACGAGTAAGGGAAGTTTATGCGGCCGTACATTAATGGTCTAGACCGTAGTTTAAAATAGGAGGCACTGGTAATATGCCGAAATAGACGAAAGCCTGTTTTCGTGTAGAAAAAACAACTTTGGTCGTATCCTTCCGCCCCAGTGTCTATGCGGGGGGATTTGCCGGGAAACAAAAAAATGTTTTTTAATAGCTGTGCTAACCGCTTTATTAGAACTTTGCTTAAAAGTTTTTGAAGAAAATATTAATGATAGCATTATAATATATTGAAATTTTTGGGAAGAGACACTAAAGAATAAAAAGAGGCCGGATTTGAACATTTCTGTTTAACCATAGATATAATTTTATCGATTCCGATACTGATTGTCTTAGCAAACTATTAAAAGGTCTGGGGGCAATGCGGAACGGCGAAGTAAACGTCAAGGTGGCACTGACCGTAACTAGTTAGCGTATAATTTAATCGAGATTACGGGGTGGCAGCAGCGTTCTAAAAAGCAAATGTTTTCAGGCTCTTTAAACGATATCCGAAGTGCATGCCTTCGCGTTATTCTTTATGCCCTCCCCGATTTCCTTGACAAGTTGTTTAAGTTACATTGAAAATATCTAATTTTACAAATATGTGTTACGTAATTTTTCCCCTTCTATTTTTCTTCAACTTAACCATATCGTAAATATTTTGCCGATTATTTTTATGCTCCGAATTTTTCGCCAGATCATTAGTTTTTGGTAATATCTGAATTCGGTCTTGCTAACAGAACAATACCTCATATTATTATTACATCAGCATCCATAATTTCTTCTAACGTTAAATCCTTCTTTTTCTATACTTATATTACGATTTGATATTATTAACAAATCTCGATATCCGAGCCACTAAAATTAAGATCGAATGAAAACTGAAGAAAGTTTCTGTGTACCTTGGTAACTAATCTTTTGATAAAATTTGGCCTTTCTTCCTTTCAGAATCAATATCGTGGATTTTGTTCCTTATAATTTCACCTATGGGCCAACAATCGGACGATTCTCTCAGCAGTGGAAAACGGTTCTTCCCACCAGCATGAATCAAACAAATGTTTAGGAGAAATCCGCGAGACATCAAATCAGCTGGAAAAGTGTTCTTCGAAGAATGTGAAAATATAAATTTAAATGTAATGTTAAATTAAATGATATTTTGTAAAACTTGGCTCAAGCATTTAGATTTTAAAATCTTATTCAAGGTCATTAAACCTTTTGTTTTTAATAAATTTAAATTCTGGTGGAGACAAATGTAAGGTGTATTATGTTAATTAACCAATTTTTATAATTTAAACCTTTACTGTAACATCGCCTTTTTGGAGTCCTTACCCGAGTACAAGTTAGATATGTCACGAATTTTGTACATATACGAATAATTTAACAAAAACGTATGTGAAATTGTTGTATTTTTTCAGTATAACGTAAACCCGAGAATCTAGAGTGATGATGCTGCCGGAAAAATAAGGATACAGGGGCAGTCTATTTATCGTTGAGTAAATGGATGTCTGGCCAATTTGGCAAGGTATCGTTAAGCAGGCAGTGATTCTGACGACTAATTTTTGTTCCAGATTTAGGGGGAAATCGCCAAAAGTTGCCAAACTTTGCATCCATTTGGCGATATTTTGGTCCGGTCCCTGTATCTTTGTAACAGGTATTGTAGTTGAATAAATGAAATTGGTTACTATATTAGCCGTAACCGTATGTGACCCTCATTTATCTTCCAGTAATTTCGAGAAGCAGAAAGTACTAGAAATATCTCGGCGGCCGGTTTAAAACTATATTAGGCCGGAGAGAGCATCTACCCTCACTAGTAGTTGTGAATTGTTAATTCAAAGCAACTTGGAAAAATTGGAAGCTTCTCCTTTTAAATGCGCTTTGCTTGCGCTGTGTTTAACGTCCTTAGTACTTTGAAGTGTGTTTTTGTTGTTGCTAATGCTCACTTGTCTGACGTAGTCAGCCCAAGCCCACGAAATTCCTCATGGCAACGAGCACTAGAATACGCTTGCCGTTGGCAATAACCTTGAGCACCGTTCAGGTGGCAGTGCGCTTTAGCCACCTTCCGCCCCCAATTTTGATGGAGAGCACCCCGAGGGGGGACGTGTCCGAGGGTCTCCCACCCCTCTCCTCTTCCACCAAACCACACGAGAGGAGTTTTGGCTCGCCGCATTTTCAGAGTGCCGCCATTCCGCACCGACACTATACATTTACAAACATCCATGCCTTCTCCGGGATTCGAACCCGGGCCCTTCAGCACGGTAGTCAGCGACGTTAACCACTATACTGTTTAGGAGGCCAATCTGAAGTTCAACTACCGATTGTACTCTAGAACACCTCTATGAGTATTTCTGTGGAAAGTTCCAGGACTCTGAAGTATTTCTTTTGATAAACTAAATTTTATCAACCTGTCATCGAACCTGGGTGCATTCATTCTATTACGAACCCGTACGCATGTAAGAGATGGTAGAAAATTTGAATGAGCTGGTTTTGAAAGTTTTAGCACTATGCAGTTTTTGGCAGCCACGCCTGCGATTTACGTTCTGTGGCCCGTGTCTGCCAATGAATATCCCAGCTTCATCCATTCTGTTACCCTACAATTAAAACGCGCCATTAAAATATTCAGCCAGTTTAAATAGGTCAATTATGTATTCTCCGACTCTGCTACCTTTAATTTGAAACTTTAGAATAAGAATTTTGTTTAACTTTGTTATTTTAAATGCCCACAAGTGATGGAGTTTATTTGTGAGCATTTGTGCTTTCAGTTCATTTAAAGATTTAAAACCCTTTAACCGGCAAGGCCGTATATATACGGTCTAGAATATTTTTTGTGATATCTGTAAGAACGTATATATAGGTGCATATTAAAATATGTAAAAAAATTAACGCAATGTATTAGAAGTAAACAAATCCAGGCATAAAATACCAGAAAAATATTATATCAAAATCAAGAAAATAATTTTTTCTCGAGTAGTTTTGGAAAAATTGTGCTTTCTTAGCGAAAACTCCGGCCGGTCAGAAGGTTAATAAAAATGTTATTTACAATCTTTTTAGTACTTTGTCATAATATTTTAGACGAAGCGATAATTCTCGTGTCAGTCTTATAGGGCCAGGAAGTCTTTAAGTTAATTCTAAATCATCAGGATTCCATATGGTATAAACTTTATCAACAAACTTTATCAAACAAGGAATGTATCGAGAGGTGTGGTTAACCATGTACGAGTAAAAATACTTTAAAATCTAAAAAAATGAACGCAATTTGAATGCTACAGAACATTTTGGCATCTAAAGAAATAAAAAGTCACATGCTGGCATATTGTTTTTGCTTGACAATCCTTTCCATCCTATGAATATCCATATTTCCTGTAATTATACGATCTATCTGTGAAATAAAAAGCTAAGTATACAAGAATGTAATATAAAACTTGAGACTTTAGCAAAGAAATTTAGAAGATTTAATATAAAGTAGAGACAAGTAAATTAAAAATTCAGTAACTGAAGTTAGAAATACTTGCTGTGATCTGAAGATAGACATGAATCTCCTGGATAGAAAGACGAAATTCTTAACAAGTGAGAAATCCCAACATAGTACATTGTTATTGTCACGTAGAACTGAGCTGAATGCAAAAAATGGCTTTTTCGATGAATGAATGATCCAAAAAATTGCAAGATTTCAACAGTGTCACGTTTTTGTTATGCATTTCTTCTCTTTCGAATCATTCTAGTGATAAATGCAAATATCAATCAAATCATGCTTATGATTACGGTAAGGAAGAATTTCTCTTTGAGATGGAAAAGATTTCAGAGTTTTCTTTGTGTTGCTACTGCAGAAGGTGAAAAAGAGACGTGAATGAACGTTTCTTTGAATTTACGCAATTAGTTGTAAAATACAGTATCGAGAATTCAATTTCAAATGCTGCGGCACTACATCTAAATTTCCTCATTATCCCTTTTTAGCGTTACACCTCGTGGCTGGATATTTTCTAGTTAAAAATTGAGAATAAACTAAGGTTTAAAATGAGCCCCTTTACTTTTAAGAAACCTTATTAGAATGTTGTCCGCAGAAAAGATAATATACTAAGAGATGAAATAGACATCGGCAAAACATTAATGAGACTGCTAAAATAAATAATGTTTTAATACTTTAAAAATATAAAAAATAATACTTTATAATGTTAAAATTGAAGTTTCTATTTTAAAGTTAAAAATGCTGTTTTAATTCATCATCAATTCTAATGACCGATGCATGGCCCTGCAGATTCGTTACAGATACGTTTTCTCAAAAACACCTGAGCTGATATCGAAGAGCTGAGAATTCACTAGGATTCTTTGTTATCATGAACTATATTTGAAATATGGTGCAACTGATATTGTCAGAATCGTAAAGGCATCTCGTATCAGATGGCTGTGCCATGTGTTTAGATATGGTGATGCATTTCCAACCAAAAAGATAACCTTTTCGAGAATTGAGGGAGTAAGACGAAACGGAAGACCACCCACTAGGATGGACAGATGATGCTGAACAAGATTTAAGGTTAAGTGGAGTGAACCGATGGAAGACTTATTGTGCCGAATGGGATTAGGTGGAGGAAACTTGGAGAGGCAGACCTTGGCCTGTAACAGGCTCTGGAGCTTATGAAGAAGATGAAGAGAGTTCACTGGTACTGAAAAAGGCTGTAAACTCCCAGATGGTCCTGGGAAGAAAATTAGCTACGTCTCAGCTATTTCGTGCAATTGACAGGAGCGCGATTCATTTGTGTCTAAACGACTATTTCGTTTTTCCTCAAGTTGATTAGGATTATCGTAGAAAAAAAACGAGGCCCATGACTTCTCATAAATCGTGTAAAAAATGCAATTTGGAATGAAGGATATAAAGTATATGTATTAATGCAAGTGTTTTATATGAATGCAATACGTATTATATGCTGTGCTATTATACTCAGGGAAACCCCTAAATAAAAACAATTACCAATCTCCAAACCTTCGAAAATATCTGCAGACGCACATATTCTTTATGAAAAATTCATTTTAGTGATTATAATCCTGCAACATATATATTGTTCAAGTCTGTATGACAGATAAAAACTGACTTGAAAAAATAAAAGAAAAATCCTGCATCAAGGAAAACAAATATTCAAGATATTGAAATGTAGGACCTCGTTCTCAACATGCTTGTAAATAGCGATTCTTTCTTGGTGAGCAGTTGCTAAATTTAACGAGTAAAGTAATTTACACCTCTGTGAGTGCAATTTTAGTAAAATTCTTCTTTTTGTAAAACGTGTCTTGCGTGTATTCGTTCTCACTGGATTACTGTTAGAAGACATTCATTCACGTGCCAACGAGTTCTTCAGTATTTGGATATAATAAAGTGTTAGCATTTTATCATGGGTTAATCTAGAAGAAACTTGTCAGAGAAAGTAGTCAGTACTTTGAATTTGCTATCAAACGATGTAATTTCTATCTTGCTAGCACTGCTTGTTCATATTCTGTCCTTATCACGGTAATTCGAATAATATTTTCAAACTCAGCTAATATTAGTAGCGCTGGTCATTTATTGACAATTTGTTTGCAGTCTTATCAAGTCTTCTTCCTTTACGCGATTTGCTAATATCTAGTCCCCAGCCTGGATTACTAACGCTGTCTAGCCTTCCAAGCAGAAACACCTATATTACACTCATGTCCATAAATTAAGGATAATGCAAAATCAGGCAAAGGAAGAGTTAGAAGCAAAACAAATTTGACTTATTTGTAAAGCTTATTTATTAAGCAAAAGGTAAAGAGCAAAAAAAAAAAAAGATGCTATGTGTTTGATATTATTAAAAAAATTGGCGATTTTTCTCCCTGGAGAAAATTACAAAAAAGACTTATTTACAAGAAACCAATATACATGGTCGGTATGATTGTTAACACATTGTATGTCTCCCAGACGATGCAATGCAGTCCGTACAACGCCTAGACATGCTGAGTATCAAATTATCGATCTGATCTTGGGGAATATTACACCACTCAAAAAGCAATGCTCTCCGAAGTTTTGGTAGACATGTAGGAGAAGATTGACGGGCTGCAACTCGTCGGCCAAGCATGTCCCACACGTGCTGTACTGGATTCAAGTCCGGTGAGAATGCTGGCCAGTCCATAAGGGTGATATCCTCCGATTGAAGGCATTCGCTTACGATGTTTGCACGGTGAGGACGGGCGTTGTCATCCATAAACACAAATTGTGCGT